CCTAACTATTCTATGATTCTATGACATACAAGCCAGTGCCAGTTGCTTGTACAGGCTGTCATGCACGCGCAGTCACATAGCTGGCCAGGACTCCCCGGGTCCTAGTAGCTGACCCCTGTGCTCTCATCCTTAGAGATACACGGCAGTCTCAGAGTGAGAGCTGTCCCTTAGGGACCTGCTCACCCTCCTGGCTCCCAGGAGACTTCACCTGTTTGTTTAGTTTGGCTTGATCTTCACTAGCAATCATGCTTGCTTGCACACATGCACTCACTTCAGTTGCTGTGTTCAGACACACACACATTCCCCTCCCATCCCCCCTGATCAAATAGAGTCCCTCATGCAGGAGAGAGTTAGGAAGGAATTTAATAAGAAAATGGGATAGATTGTGCTTATCAATGCACAATGCATGGTCAGACAAGTGTATTGACTAGCAAAGTATTTAGATGTGACTGGTCCTTTTTATGCCCGTAGCTCTCTATTTTCCCACACTTGTTCCTCTACAAATCACCTGAATATCTGCTTTTGGTTCTTCTCTTAAAAATCCCATAGTAAGTCCTGGGCAATCCCAAAATGCTCTTCCTGTGCCTCCCATCATGTGTGCCAAACACCTCAGCACAATCTGTCCTCAGCCAGAGTCAGGTTCTCTGGCATTGATGGGTTTCAGGTCTGGACTGTGAGGCTGCCGCTCTCCTGGGACAGCCCTGGGAGGGGCCTAGACTGGGTGTTCCTTCCTCCCAGTCCTTAATTTGAGTTCCTACCTGCCATTGTGCTCCTCTGGGCTTGTGGAGGTGGGCCTTTGGTTGGCTGATGGCCTCTGTGAGGAACCTGACAGCGTATTACTTTGGTTCCCACTCCTGCCATTGTCTCTCAATGCTCCTTTTTGAATCTGCAGACAAGTTTTTATCATGTAACCTAATAGTTAGTATTATCCATTCTCTCCTTTCTCCAGCCAAATCTAGTGAATTTGTATTTCTTGAACTGTCCCAACCACTCACAGAATGGGAAGAAGACAGACTGACTGAAGTGGTTACAGGTGTGAGCAAGAAGAACAGAGCACCAGATCTCCTTGAGGTTTTGTCTTTGAAGGAAGCACTATCCTTGTTTAAGGACCTTTCTCCTGAAGAGAGCTCTTTTATAAATTACAATAAGGATCTACTAAAGCAATGTATACCAAAACAGAATACCTCAGATGCTCATGAGCCTGCAGTTCAGGTTAGTTGCTTGATTCATCACCACCCGTTGGCATTCACACATTCTAGTAAATTTTAGATACACCTTCTTTCTTAATCCACAGCTCAAAAAAGAATCAGTCATGTTTGTTATTTCCCTCATGTTATTTCTCTTATTACTGCACAATGGGGCAAGATTTGCAGTAAACTAGATTGAGTCCGCAGAGGGATAGTGTACAGACCTCGTCAGTAAGTGGCAAACAGTGAAGCTTTAGGTCAACTCATGGTTGCCTATGCCTAGAACCACAGGGATTTTCTGCCCTTGTGGTGTCTCCAGGGCAGCAGTTTCAGAGTTAATCAAGTGCTGAGTGATGGAACTATTTTTCAGTTGAGCTGGAAGTGAAGGGGTGCAGCAGAGGAGGAGCTGTGTGTCTTGCTCATTCCAGGCATCTCTAGATGACATACTGCTGTGCCAGGCACAGCCTGAAATGCTAAATGATTCTTAAGGCTGCTGGGAAGATGGAGCTGTGCAAGGTAATGTGTTAATACACCTCCCTCTGAGGTGTAAATGTCTCAACACAACCCTGCATCCTTGTCACTTCAGAAATTACGTATGTTTGATCCCATTAGTAAAAAACACAGAGACAATAGATCAATCTGGCTATGAAACTGGGAGCTTAAATTAAGCTAGCCTGTCCTAAATGTGTATCATCTTTAGACATATCGTTTAAGAACTAGATTTTCAAACCTTCCAAGCATTCACAGCTCCTATTAAGACAGTCTTGATACTTGTCTCCATCTGTTCAGGTCCAACAGATCCAGTTTCTTTTCCAAAACCAATTCTGTATCAGTTGGTTGAATAATGCTTAAACAGTTTTAGAGAGAGGTTATGAACAGAGGAAGAGCTGTTATCTTTTTAAAAGAGACATAACTTTTTAAATTATCTAAATAGTGGCATGTTTGCCTAAATCCTGATGTTTACACTTCTGCTCTCCAGCAGGATTTCTCTTCAGTGATGCAGGATATTCCTGTGGGCTTGATGCTTGTTTTTCGTGTGTTCTGTTTGACATGTATAAAGCTGTGTAATGCTTTTTACTATTATTATTGTTTGGATTTTTTTCTGGTAGGAATCTAAACCAAAAGTGGCCAGGCCCAGTTATGCCCTTGCAAATAAGCAGAATAGTGGTTGCTATTCTATCTCTCTGTCCTCTGCACTGAATGAAGAATGGAAAGAAGTAAGAGAAACAGGAGCAGTTAAGAAGTATGTATATTTCATATAAATGAGAAGATGAAAATATAACAAATTGAATAAACAAATTGCTGGAATAAAAACTTTGTCTCAACTACTATTCTCTAGCTGATTTGAAAGTGTTGTGTGAAAGATGCTCTAGAAATCTAAAATATCACCAAGTATGAATGTAGTTATTCCTGTTTCCATCCTAATAGTTAACAGACAACATGGATGTGTTACAGGATGACAGAAAATCTCACAGAAATCAGAGAGTACCTTAACTGTGACTACAAGCTCATATCATGGATGCATGAATGGGAGGGTAGGGACCTCATGGCTTCTGTGAGTTTCCATCTAGGTCTATATCACAGCAAAACTTTACATTTAAGCTGAGCGCCTTTTTTTTTTTTTTTTTTTTTTAAGTATAAGCAATGCTTTCTTTCACTCTTCTGGCTCTCTATTTATAACTAGTTTGCCATATGTGTAATGCAGCAAGGTACTAGGAGAGTGCTGACATGCCTCAGTTCTGTCTGCACTAGCCTGTTAGCCATTGTACTTCTTGTGCGGCAAACGTTAGTGAAGTAAATTGCTCTTAAGAACTCTTGCCTTCTGCAGTCACTGACAGTGTAGCAGTTGGTTTTGTTTCTGCAACAGCAAAACTGCTCATTTCATGATTCCGGTTAAGTAATATGGTTGTTAATCTAGAGCTTTTTAAATGCATTGTAAATACTAGTAGTAGAGGTAACTTGGGCAGTTTCAATCTACTTCCAGTACATATGCTGCATGGTGCATAAACCCAAGTTTCCTGCTTGGAAACGTGGGAGTCCTATTGGACTCTTAATGAAGAGAAAGTCACTGTTCAGTAATACCATTTGAGAATATGTCTCCTAGAATTTCTTTCCATTTTATATAGCCATTTGTCAATTACTTTTTATCAAAAAAAGAAAAACAAGATGAAGGTTAAAAAAATAATCTCCTTTTCAAAAGCTTTTCTCAAAATTTCAGTGTGCATTGGGGTGCTTATTTCATTTGTAACACTTAACTGTCAGAGTAAGAAATGGCAAAGGACGTTTGAGTTAGTCAACAGTTTTGAAAATCACCATTTTTAACAAGTTTTCTAAAAGATCTTCTACATGTGAAAAAGAATATCACAGTTCGTCACTCTTACAATGTGATTTTGATTTGTGTTTTCTAGCTTAATTGTTTATCCACCCCCACCTGCAAAAGGAGGATTGGGAGTCACAAGAGAAGACCTAGAGTGCTTAGAATATGGAGAGTTTCTCAATGATGTCATCATTGATTTCTATCTTAAGTAAGTAATCACAGCTTTATTGTACCCTTCTTTCTGTGACCTGATCTGGACTTGAGTTACTGTAATGTTGGTCTCTAAATATGATACAGTAATTTCAGAAGTAACAGTATGATGAATTCGTAAGTTGGACTTCTATTAAAGATGTGTGTGTTCTCATCAGGTTCAGTTGTTTCAGTTTAATCCCTTTTGTCCCTCTAAAGGGCTGTGATATAATCCAGACAAAATAATGGGGGGAAAAAAGCCTCTTGGTGACCTCACAGAACAGAAAGTGTTTAAACAGGCAGCTGAACAAAGTAGAGGGTCTGTACTAGTAGTTTATTTACTAAGTTTGCGTGAAATGGAGCATCCTTTGCTATTCTATGCAAGAGTTCAGGAATTCTGATGTACAGCTCCTGCAGAAAACAGTACAGCTAATTGTGGAAGCTTCTTGAGGAAGCTTGTTCTTGGCTTACCTGCTTTGTGCCATCCTTCTAAAGTTGCTTGTGAAAGCAAGATTTCCAGAACCAGCATGGTAGAACCTCAATTCCTTAAAGTCTAGATTTATTTTTCTTGTTGCTGACTTAAACCTAAGCAGAATTCTGGCTCTTTCGGAGGCTGTCTGCAAGAATTCCATTTTGCTTGGCATACAGCATGGCTGCAGTAACCGTGAGCAATCGGAAGCCAGTTAAAACTTCTTATCTAGAGGAGTGGGAAAGGAAATATGTAGCAGAGTGTTTAGATGTGGTTTTACAGCAAAGCCCCATGTATCTTGCTCTAAACTAGAAATAAATCATGTAGCTGGTCCTTTTCTCTGCTTTTTGTATATGCAAGAGTATAACACTCTATAGATTTATCCTTTGTTAAGTTTTCAAGCCTGCCTTAATTGCAACTAGAAACCTAACCCTAAAAATAAATTCAGAAGCATTATTAACCTGAGTATGATAAGTCATTAAAATAGTTGTCTTTTTTTTTTTTTAATCAGAAAGTAATGGTACTTGCTATAAAAGGAATTTAATAATTTCCTTCTTTTTTGTTTGATAGATACCTGTTGTTGGAGAAGGTGCCAAAACATCTTGCTGAACGCACACACATTTTTAGCAGTTTCTTCTATAAGTGCCTGACCAGGACGGAAAAAAACTCTGAGGGGGATCTCAAAGTTCCGTAAGTTCATTTTAGACATCATTATGAGCAGAAATAAACTATCTATTGATGCCACTTCGAAGTTCTGCAGATCATCTCCTAGTCTGCACATTAAGTTGCTGTCAGTGTTCTGCAAGGGATTAATGATTAAATGTTGTAACTCTCAAAACTGATGTTTTTAATTTAAATGTGCATGTGATTCATACTGGATGGGCATGAAAATGTTATCATCTTTCTCCAACTTTATCTGACTCTTCAGACGATTATTAATGTATTTTGATCTTTGTATTATACATAGAGTTTTGCAAGGTATGCATAATTTTAAGAAATTGCACTTCTAAAAATATTTTTAGATTTACCACATATTTCATTATATATATTGATAATAAATTCTTGTCTGAAGTTTTAGTAAGATTTTTTACACACAAAGTTTGCATATTTGGTTTTTAATACTTGTGCACACTGGAATCGGAGATTTTCACAGAAAAAATATCATTAGCAGCTCAATAACCCTGTATCACTTTGTGTTGAGACTCTATAGAGACCATCCCTAGAGCACTTCCCATTTCTTCTCAGTACTAATGTTTGAGAGTGAAGTTTGCCCTGCCACTTCACTTACAGTGATGATCTGCCAGCAACTTTCATTCAGTTTATCAGAATTGTTGTTTTTTTTGTTTTGTTTTGTTTCCTTCCACATGTTTCCTTCTGAAGTGATTTTTCTTCTATTATCCATGAATTCCCCAGGTTTTTCATTCTACTGGCAAATGAGGCTACCTGCACAAAGATGTGTGCCATCTCGTGTGTGTTGCAGTCACTGCTAGGTGAAAGCTATTAAGGGGAAAAAGAATGCAACTTCTGTAATAATCTCAAAGATGTCTCAAAAAGTCAGGGAGCTGTGCTTGAGAGAATGTCTTCTATCGTTTTATTGTCTTCTGAACCCTAATGTTCTAAGGTGGAGACAAAATTATCCATGTTAAGGCTGCTGTTGTGACTTGATCTGATTCCTTTAGCAAGGCTGGGCTGTCCATAACCTTCTTAAGGAACTGGAATGGCACTTAATTCTCCGTGCTTCAAGGACTGTAGCTGCTTCAGATAGCTTTGGAAGTTCTAATTTTGTGTTTGAGCTTAGTTACTTACCTGGTTATTACAAGTGGTTTGGGTTTTTGTTTCTGTGGAAGTGTTTGGATAAATGGATAGGGGAAATTGGGCTCTGTACTGTTGTAAACGAAATTAATCTCAGCTGACGTAGCTACTCAACTTAAAGATCCTTTGCTTCCCTTTCTTTATGCTTCTTAGGCAGTAGATGAGAACTCTTTCTGTAGGTGCTTTCCCAGGTTGCAAACATGCCTTCCTCTTTTAATTCCCAGTGCTTTTAGAGCCATGTAGCAGAGGAAGCTTGTAGCAAGTCTTCATTTAATGCTAGCCCATGCAGAGTCCCACTGCTTTTCCATTCCTCACTCATTTTCTCCTTTTCCTCCTGCACTGAAGTTACCTTTCTTAATCACCGATCAGGATGGAATCATAATGGGAATAGAGATGTCTCCTGATTGTAATGAATTTTGCTTTCAGATGATACTGGAGCAAAGTTTCACGAACCATTGGTTTCTATTTCAGCTTGTGCAAACTAAGAAAGCTGAAAATCTAAATTTAGGTTTCTTCTCAATTTTTTCTTATTTTCCTAGTATCCTGTCCTCACATGTTATTTCTGTAGGACTGGAAATGAAATGTGCTTCAGCACTTAAAGCTCGGGACTGGAGGGAGTCTGTTTCAGTCCTGGCTTTGCTACAGGTGTGTTGAATGACTGTACGCCAGGCATTTAGCTTTTTCCTTCTAAAAATAAGGTTGTTTAGACAGGCCTTCAAAGTGGTATCATGAAGTTTAATTAATGGATGTCGGTAAGTTGCTGTAGATCTGTTTTACACTGGCTGGTGTTTAGACGAGAGTTTTGCATTTTGTGCAGAAAATAATACTTACTGGGTAAATAAGTTTAAGAAGTCCTTTCAAATCTATGGATGATTGTTTTTCTGGAAGAGTTTAAGGTGGTTCAGAAATGGCTTGTTAGTCACTTGGGCTTAACGGCGTGCTGATTTGGTTTTTCTCTGTCAGGGAAGTTTCAAGAGTAAGTTAAAAACCTATTGAGGGTTTGAGGAAGGTGTAAGAGTACTAATCCCCATACCTTGCTGTAACTAAGAAGAACAAATCTGAACAACAATTGTCATTTGGTTTCTGCAGAGCGGCACAGAGAAGACACAGAAGAGTAAGAACGTGGACTCGTCATATAAACATCTTCAGTAAAGATTATATCTTTGTGCCTGTGAATGAGGAGTAAGTCTATGTATTTTAGACATCTTTTCTGATATTTAGAGATTTAAATATTTGAACATCGTGTTGATAGATTTATGGCTGTAAGGTTGGATCACTGGAAATTAACACATTAGATTTTGAAGATCATGAAGAACAGGTGTGGAATGAGTAATTTTTAAGTCTCATCAAAAGTTAAATTTTCTATTTAGTCACCTTCAGTAAACTTTGCATCTTTGGTTTTTGTTCTACTGAAATTTATATATTTTTTAGTATCATTTGTGTCACTATGATGATTCCTGTGCACTTAAGTAATGTTTCTGTAAAGAAATCACAGCAACTCATAGCGTTAATGGATCAGGATTAGCACTTCCATGGCCTGTGCCCTGGCCTGGTTGAATAACTGACTTGCAGATGTCAACTCCAGTAAAACTGAATAGTCATTTAGAGTTACATATGCAAAACAGCTGCAGAAAGAGATGAGACTAGAAGCATGCCCTTCCTTTAGTTATATGAAAAACTGGGATCATATATTATTTTAGTACTCTCCCCCTACCCTCCAGCAGGGGTTTTGTTGTTTTGGGGTTTCTTTTAAGGAATTGATACTTACTTTTGCTGTTGTGCCACAATGCAAAGTAAAAACAAATTAGAAGGTAAGTATGAGATGCCATGAGGAAACATGGCAACAGTGGTTATGTGTCACAGAACAGTTGTCCATGAGTTCTCAATGTTATAAAAACTTTTCATATCCTTTGCAGAACCAAATGTTATACAATTTTGATGGTTTTTCCCCCCTCTCTCCACTGCTGGGCAGGTCTCATTGGTACATTGCAGTTATCTGTTTTCCTTGGTTAGAAGAAGCTGTGTATGAGGAGTGTCCTCATCAGAGTTTATCATGTCACCAGCCTCAACAATCTCCGCTTTGGTCAGAGGGTGAGAACGTTAGAACTGGTTCAGTGTTGACCATTCCTGGTGACTGCAAAGATGAGCAAGAAATGGTTATTAACAAAAATATATTCTCTGAAGGTAGGTAATCTTATATAGCTTGACATAATTTTCTTCTAATATTGTCATAATCTGTGAAGGAGGGATATGATGTCTTAAAAAGCATCTTTTATGTCAAGAACGATGTAATATGTTTTTGTATTACTATGCATAGTAAGGACTGTACTTCATTCTTGTTGTCTGCAACTCTGGAAACTACTGAAAGGGACATGTAAAATCAGTGGCTCAGATCCCATCATAAGTGGAAAGTTCTTGGATTTCAAGAGTTCTATCAGGAAGGCAAGCCCTCAGTAACTCAGCTATTTGAACATTCAGAAGGGAAGCAAAAATAGTTTATACTTCACTATTGTATTTTGAATGCTAATAATCACAAATTTGAAAATGGGAATATTTCAGTTAGAAAATATTTTCTTAAGACTTCTTAATTTGTTCTCTTGGACTAGGTGGCAATGAAATTGCTGCTTCTGCTTCAGCCCTGCATTCAGCTATTTCTAAAGTAAGTACCTTTTCTACTGGCAGAGGAAACATGTATTGCTCTATTTCTGAAGGCTCTGAGAATTGACTAAGCGATTTTGCATCATCTTTCTTGCAGTAGCTATCAATGTTTGTGTGGCTTGCAGCATGTGCAAGACACTTTGAATTAGCCTGAAGTCCTCCTTTGCCTAATTATGTTGCCTTTGCTATACTTTCATGTGTTTTTAAAAATTATGTTTTTTAGTTTCTCTCTTTCTGAAATGGGATCCTGTCTGGCTTTACCTTTAAATCTTTGAAGATCTTAGAGTTTATAATTGCTGAAGGGTTTTTAAGGTTATTTTTATTTTCTCTTCTCCCAGATCTCCCTCAGTAATTCCAAAAGGCAGATTTGTAAAAGGTATGTCTCTGTTTTCATACTAAAATTGTAACATTAAATTATATTAAGAAATTCTGGAGTAAGTTATGTGTCATAAAGCCACAGCTGTAGGAACTTGTCCATTTTTTTTCCACATTTGTTCAGATATTGTTGCTCTTGTTAAGCTGTATCCAAACAAATTATTTGCTTCAGTTGTGTTGGTAATGAAAGACTACAATGATTTGTTGGTTTGTTTGTTTTTGTTCTGTACAGGCCTTGTATACTCATCTTAGACTCTTTAAAAGCTGCTTCTGTGCAGAAAACAGTTCAGGTTTTGAGAGAGTAAGTAACTACAGTTTCTATGTATTAGCAAGAGATGCTGCTGGTCATATTTCTATGCTCAAAATACTTTTTTCTATCAAGGTTTACATTTCTAATACTAAAGGAAAATCCATAAAGAGTCACAACAAAGAAAATTGCAACAGTAATACAGAAGCTTGTATGAAAAGCCTGTGTTTGTTCTGTTGCCCAGATATAATGCAAAAATGGTAAAGTGGACAGTCTTTCTGTAATTAAAGTAGAGGGAGTTTGGGGCTTTTTTTTTTTTCAAATCCCCTTCAGTTCAGTAATAGAGGGTGTTCTTAAGGGTAGAAAATCAGATTGTTTAAAATTTAAAAGCTTGATGTGTCAGTATAGTTATATTGGAATAGTATTATTTGTTTTGAAAAGTGAGAGTAAAATGTATATTCAGTCTTTTATGTGATAAGTGTGTAAGTATTGTAAGAATGTCTTCGAAGTTTCACTGTCTGAATGACTAACATCTATCAATAACTTTTTTAAAGTTGCTAATATTGAATTTTTGAAGCTAAACAGTTTTTTTCTTTTTTTTTTTCTTTTTTTCTGTTGTGTTCACTTCTCTGAAAGGAAAAAAAATCTGTAAACCAAATAGTACCTTCTTCTTGTAAAAGTAAATTATTCAAAATACTAAGTGATAGGTGAGAATCAGAAATATTTGTGAAACCACTTTTCCCTAGAGAGGCCTCCCCACCATGTGTGGGAGGACCATTCTAGGGAGGGAGAAAAAAAAAAGCCATACCAGAGAGGTAGTTCAGAGAGACGCCATGAAAAGTCAGAAAAGAAAGAGGTGATTTATGGAGTTGTGAGATCAGGGAATTTTGGGAAGCAGACCTCTTATTCCTTCAGTTTGCAGGTTTATTCTGAAAACAGATTAAGGACACTGATGCAGGGGTTCCGTGACCTTTTTTTTCCTTGAGCTGATTTTTGTTGCAAGGACTTGGGGCTTTTAAAAATCAAACACAAGGTCTGACCTAATGAATATATTTTTTGTTCCATGAAGTCAGACATTATCTTTGATTGTTGATAAGCTTTGAGTCTTTGCAACTCTGACTAAAGTCAGCAGAAAAGTTTGTTGCCTTTGAAAATTAGACTTTTTCAATCCCATCTTAAAAATCTTTTGTAGGTACCTTGAAGTGGAATGGGAAGCTAAAAGAAAAACACATAGAGAATTCAATAAATCAACGATGATTGACCTGTATCCCAGAGTGCCTAAACAAGATAACAGCAGTGATTGTGGGGTCTATTTGCTACAATATGTGGAAAGCTTCTTTGAGGTACAAATGGAAACTACCTTCTCCTTTTCTCAAAATTAGCTTAAACCTAAAAAACCTATTCCTGAGAGAAATAAGCCAGACACAAAAGCCTGTGACGCGCAGCCTCAAAAGTGCTAAAGCCATTTGAGGAAGAGGAAATAAAACCCATTCTTCAAGTAGTGGCAGGGGTCTTTGTATGTGGAACACAGTTTTTTTTATCTGAGTTTGTTGGCAGACATTTCTGACGTCGTAGTTTAATGTTGCTTTTATATTGACAGACTCAATATCCCTAACTATTTGTATATATTTGGGGTCTATTTAGTTTACCCATTTCTGGTCTATAAGTGTTACAAAGGCATCTTTTCTGTGCATCTCTTCTTGTAGCCTCTAAAACTGTGGTCAGCTTGTGCATTGAGTGGCTCTGTGGGCAGCAGATTCTGCAGAGAGAGGCAGGCGGGAATCCTTAAACGGGAATGCAGAGAGCA